CACAAGCTGAAAACTTCGTACGGAGTTTTATTGTTTAGGTCTGTGGACATCGGGCACTTGGGAGGGTGGCTCTCTGCTGAAAATCACCAGAAACATGGCTGGGACATTTTTATCATTCATGTTTGTATACACTCAATAACCGCAAATCTGACTCAATTATAGACATTTTTTTAATTTCTGCACATGTGCTATCTTCTCATGTTCCTTTCCTATGAAAACTCACTTATGTTTTCTTCCAGGGTAGAATTTCAGGAATTACTATGTCTTAGATGACAGGATGCTTCCTTTGACGAACCTAACCTGGGACTAAGAAATAAACTATGGGGGTTAAAGAAAGGAGGACTTTTTTGAAAGACAGCCACCTACAAAACTCCCAAGCTTGAACAAAGAGAGATGAGTGTACAAGACAGGGGCCTATATCACTGCTGCCCCCTTTCAGGGTCCCCCAAACCACGCCCACCCTGAGCAGCCCCTCAGCAACGCTGCAACGCAGACCTCACTTCTGCTTTCCTTTAATGAATGCGTTCTGGGTCCCGGGAGATGAGAACTGTTAACTTGAGTGAGGTATGTAAATAGTTCCCTTCCTGCACCGTGTTAACACCCAGGTTCCAGGGTTTTCATACCACTATCAATAAGAATAATTACATCATAAAGACCGAAGCACAACAGTCCCTTAAATGTTTATGCAATAACTGAAGAAATTTTAGACTCTGGATACTGTCTACTCTAACCACTCGACTTGGCACAACCAAGGTCACACCACTGGAAGAATTAAGAATCAAGGTCCTCAATCTCCCTTTAATGATATTTTCACTATTCTGGGCCAATGGAAAGGATGAAATTTTCTCCTCTGCTGTTAATTCTCGTGCACAACACCACTACTGTAGCACCTCTCCTCAATTTATTCAGTCTTTTAGCTTGGAGACTTTTCTAGGAAGGTGACCTCAACCACATATACAGCAAACACTTTGCTATCCGGCCCTTTTTTTATATAGGCTTTCTTGAATTTGACTTTCTTGAGAGAAGTCATTCCTACTTACGCTGTCACCTCCCTACTGCCCTTCTACCCAGGACTCTACCCTCCGCTCTGCTCTCCAGCAGACGGCCTCTCTGTAGTGATTCCCGGTGCTTCGGCCCTGACCTCTCTGAGCTCCAGACTCGCATCTCCAGGCATGTCCTGAGTATTTTTATGTCCTTACCTCCTCAAATTCAGTCTGTCCAAAAACATATCATCTCACCTTCCACATATTTTGCTCAACTTCCTAAGTATCAATCATCACTTTCCCACTCAAGCAAGTTCAGAACTTTAGTCATGTGACTCCTCCTCTACTTTTATAGCCAGTTCTGTTGATTTTTTAAAATTCTTTGTGCTTCTTTTTGAACTGGTCTGTTTTGGTTCCCACAAAAACCACTACACACTAGGTTTTCATCAGCCTCTCAACCAGTGTCCCCACCTCTCTCTTCAATGTCTACTTCATCACTTTTCTTAACCAGGACATTCTCTACTCAGGTGGGTCTACTCGCAACTTTTTGACTGTACTTTCTCATTCCTCTGCCCACACACAATAAACCCCACAGCTAGAGTATACACCCTCCTCCTCATCACCTGCTCAGAACCTGACATTGCAATGATGGTTCAAGTCCAGTCTCTTCAATGAAGCTTTCTCTTACTGTTCTGGAGTTCACTACCTGTATATCACAATTTTTGGTGCCCAATTGCCAATCACTTTATACATTAATTTTCAAAAAGTACTTGTCTTCCTGATAAGGGTGTAGGAAGCACATCTTACATGTATTTGCTGCTTCCAAAAAATATCTCAATAACTATATTACATTATGAAAAAAATAAGCCATAGTAGTTAAGAGAACATGATTAGGAAGTGGAAATTTTGTGTTTAGATCCTGGCTTTGTTCTGTTCTATTATAGATGGGTGACCTTGGGCAAATAACCGCCACAAACTCTCATAGCTATAAAACAGAGATAATGCCACCTATTTCATAGGGATGTTGTGAAGTTGAACAGAATGTGTATGTACACATATAAAATGTTCACCATAGTATGTGGTCTGTGGGGAGTGCCTTTTTAAGGATTTTGCACTCTTCTTTAGAAGAGTGCCTAGTCAATACTTTAAACTGCATAATCTTCAGATTCAATGTAATCTCTATCAAAATTCTAGTGGCACTTTCCACAGAAAAAGAACAAATAATACTAAAAATTTTATGGAACCACAAAAGACCCCCAATAGCCAAAAAAAAATTGAAAAAGAGGAACAAAGCTAGAAGCATCATACTCCCTGGTTTCAAACTATAATACAAAACTATAGTAACTAAAACAGTATGGTATGGCAGAACAATAGACACATACATCAATGGCACAGAATAGAGAGCCCCAAAATAAACCCAATGGGGTTTATATGGTCAATTAATGTATGACAAAGAAGCCAAGAATATACAATGGGAGAAAGACAATCTTTTCAGTAAACAGTGTTGAGAAAACTGGACAGCCACATGCAAAAGAATGAAACTGGACAACTATCTGAACCCATAAATAAGAATTAACTCAAAATAGATTAAAGACTTGAATGTAAGACCTGAAACCATAAAAATTCTAGATTAAACCATGAGAAATAAGCTCATTTACATCAGTCTTGATGATGATGTTTTTGGATCTAAAACCAAAGCAAATGCAACCAAAGCAAAAAATCAGTAAGTGGGACCACATCAAACTAAGAAGCTTCTGCACAGCAAAGAAAACCACCAACAAAATGAAATGACAAGGAACTAATGAGAAAAAATAATTGCAAATCACGTATCTGAAAAGGATTAATATCCAAAATATATAAAGAATTCATATAACCCAATAGCACAAATAAAACAAACAAAAGAAAAACAAAAAAAATCTGATTTAAAAATTGGTAGAGCCCTGGCCCATGTGGCTTAGTTGGTTGGAGCACTGGCCCATAAACTCATGGATTTGGTTCCTGGTCAGGGCACATACCTAGGCTGCGAGATTGGTTCCCAGTCAGGGTGTGTATGAGAGTTGACCAATCAATGTTTCTCTCCCACACTGATGTTTCTCTTCCTCTCTCCTTCCCACCCTTCACCCCCTCTCTAAAATCAATAAGCATGTCCTTGGGTGAGAGTAAAAAAGAATTTTTTTAATGGGCAGAGGATCTAAATAGACATTTCTCCAAAGAGGACATACAGATGGCTAATGGGTATATGAACATGCTCAACATCGTTCATCATCAAGGAAGTGAGTACCAAAAGCATAATGAAATGTCACTGCACATCTGGTTGGAATGGCTCTTGTCAAAAAGACAAGAAATAATAGGTGTTGGCAAAGACGTAGAGAAAAGGGAGCGCTTGTGCACTGTTGGTGAGAATGCACACTGGTGCAACCACTACGGACAAAAGTATGGGGGTCCCTCAAAAAATTAAAGACAGAACTACCACATGATCCAGCAACTCCACACCTAGATAATTTATCCAAGAAAAGGAAAGCACTGACTAGAAAAGATATCTGCACCTCTAAGTGTCCACTGACAAATAAATGGATAAAGAAAATGGAATATTATTCAGAAGCAGGGTTAGGGGTAAGTAAAATGGGTGAAGGGAGTCAAAAGTACAAACTTCCAGTTACAAAAATAAATAAGGCATGAAGATGTAATGTAGACCATGGTAACTTCAGTTAGTAATACTGTATTGAATATCTGAAAGTTGCCAAGAGAGTAGATCTTAAAAGCTGACATCACAAGAAAAAAATTCTGTAACTATATATGGTGACAGATTTTAACTAAAGTTGCTGTGGTGGTCATTTTATAATATATGAAAATATGGAGTCATTATGTTGAAACTAATACAATGATGCATATCAATTACTCTTTAATAAAAAAGATAAATAAATAAAGAGCCACAAAGTTCATGCTAAACAGTTTTTCTTAACACACTGTCAAGATTCCACTTCACATGAAGTTTTAGACCACCAATCACTGTATTTAGTCAAAAATTACTTTTCTAACCAGTGTCTAAGAAAAACAAAAAAGGCAACTTTGAACTTTGAAGCTGTGCCCAGATGCCAACCTGATGTGTAAAACTGAACAAAGTCAGTTTCATCCACATCATAACCCAACCCAGCACGGTTTGCAGCCATTGCCGCCTCGAAATGACACAGTTAAAGCAGAATTAGAGAATCACTGGTAGGCTAGAAAAGTTCCCAGAGAGCCAAGCCACTGGATAGAGATTTTGTATGAAGGACCGCTCGAGCCTCAGAACTGAAGAAGGGCCATGGTGAGCGACCACAGCCAGCTTTTTCTATGAGGACAGGCACATGTTTTTCTTCAACCAACAAGGCAATTACCAACTCTGATTTGGGGCTTCAAAAAACACAGTGAAAATACTGCAATCTGGCACATCAAAAACCAACAATGTGGCCCTGGCTGGTGTAGCTCAGTGGATTGAGCGTGGGTTGCAAACCAGAGGGTTACCAGTTCGATTCCCAGTCAGGGCACATGCCTGGGCTGCAGGCCAGGTCCTCAGTGGGGGCCACGTCAGAGGCAACCACACACTGATGCTTCTCTAACTCTCTCCCTCCCTCTCCCTGTCTAAAAATAAATAAAATCTTTAAAAAATAAATAAATAAATAATAAAACCAACAATGTGGTCTTTTGTGGATAAATTCTTTTTCTCCCCGCTAATGAAACACACAGCCTTTTATTCTGTGTGCAGAAGGTCACAACTTTCTCTACTTTAAAAATCAGACATTAGGCCTCCACTAAGGTTCCAGAAATTTTCCACCTGGAATATCGATGCTCTCGCAGGAGAGGCTGCATCAAGTGCAGCAAGCCAGCGTCATTGTCCCCTTGTGCCTTGACCTGGGCCTCTCACAGTGACGAGCGGGCACAGGGCAGGTGCCTCCACATGGTCACCCAAACGCCTCCCTTCGAAGCCCCGAACTCACTGTTTCCACACCCTGAGAAGGGGGCACTGCGTGTCCTTACCGCGGACGTCAGACGAGCGAGAATTTCATCGCTGCTTTCTTCCGAGTCTTCGATTTTCTGGGGAGACCTTTGAAAAACAAAGAATGAATGACCCTTCAGCTTCGGTTGCTCAAATTCATCTGTCCAGTGATGGGGAATACGTGGCATTCTCCACTGTTTAACACATTATTATTTAATATGTTATTGTTTAATACGAGGGGAACCCAAAAAAACAGAATTTACTTATAAAAATTTGTGTATTTATTCTCACATGTTTATATTTCAGTCACCTTCAAAGTGTGCTTTATTTGATGTAATACACCCATCAAGATGTTTTCTCTACTGCTCAAAACAGGGTTTGAGCTCATGGATTTTGGTGGCTTTTAGTGCCTCTCCTATATTTTTGTTTCACCTCTTCCACATCAGCAAAACATTTCCCTTTGGGGATTTTTTTCATCCAGGGAAACAAAAATAAAAGTCACTAGGGGCGAGATCAGGTGAACTGGGGCAGCACAGGGTCATGCTGCTTTTGGTCAAAAACTGCTGAACACTCAGCGCAGTGTGGGCAGATGTGTTTGTAAATCACCCATCACGAAACAAGCAAACACGCTGAAACAGTCTTCAAAAAAAATTCACTTAACTCAAACACAGCCTCTCACAACAATGCCAGCTGGTGCACTATTACAGATGGGTTCCTGGAACACTCACCTAGCAGGGGAAGCCTGTACTACAAGGGGCTTGCCCTCCAGGAGATAATTCCATTTTGGGGGGGTCGTCCCTCTCATACATTAGTGAAAGTGCCCAAAGAAATAACATGGTGTCAGTAATGCCACAGGAGCACGGATCTGCTGCGGCCCAACCGTTCCTTCAAAGTCAGGTGGCCAGAACCCTGTACAAAACACCGATTAAATCCTGAGGATGGAGTATTGGTCCCCAAGGGATTTCACGGAACAACCCTGACACACTCCATTTACAGGCATGGGCAGGCACGAAGCATAAGTAGGTGGGAATATATGGTGGTTAAGTACTAAGATTCCCTCCAGTCCAAATGAAACCCAGATTTTGAAATTATGAATCATGACTTTTCCACCACATTTGAGTTTCATCCAAGGCAGATGCATTATAAAATGGTCTATTATAGACCTAATGCTATGATAGGATTTTCATGGAAAGCAATAGCAGAAGAAGCTCTTTATCCTTTTTTAAGAGACACAGCCCGGTGGAGAAGCCAAAAAAATTATGCGCATGTTAAATAACTAAAGAGACATATAATGTATTACACAGAATAAGATCAGCCTGTTTGTTTAGGAAAATCACCTTAACAGTAAAGTTCATGAAAAATTTTTCACCGCACAGATGCACATACTTACGTATAAAATAAAACAAATCTTTAAAATCTGCATTCTTTTTCCTGGTTTGATTAAAGAAACAAATTAACTGATGCCAACTGACTATATAAAATTGTTGACAAGCAGTCCCTTTCAACACCTTCTGTGGAACTGCAGGGGGTGGTAACTGCCCCGCAGAGCAGTTATCGGGGTGGCTGTCTGGTGACTGATTCCCGTCCCGGGACCTGCCGCAGGCCAGCTGGAGCGCTGCCTGGTGGGCAGGAGGGCGTCTCTCGGGGAAGCGAAGGAGAAGCTCTCTAAGGAAAGGAAAGCTAGTCGGACCGATCCCGGCACTGGCTTCCTGTACGTGTTATCAGACCTTTTTATGGGAGAAAAAAAAAAGCCATACTATTCAACCAGAGCAGCGAGCTACAAACTACTTCTGTTGTAAGAACTAACCACACGATACACTGTCCGACAGCATAATGACTCGTGCAGCAAAGTGTTTGAAACGTTAGCTAATAACCTGCCCAGTGGGAAATAAAACCAGTGGGAAATAAGCAGTATAATTTACCATCTTCCCCCCAAAGCAAGTTACCTTGATAATGACTATTTCAAACAATGAGCTTTATTATTGAAATTATCTATTCACCAGTTTCCTTATACCTGAAGTTATACTACGAAGAGCTGTGCAACCCTTTAGAACCTAAGCCACCAAAACCAAATTTATATGAATAAGTGGAGGTGGCTAAACAGATGAGACAAGAAAGGAAGTGTCACCCGCCCGAGACACCCCACAGTGGCTGGACGCCCGGCCTGGGTCTGTAAGGAGGTGTGGGCCGGCCGTGCTGTCCTGTGCCTGTCGGACTCCAGCAGACACCCGCAGGCGTAGTTAATGGGAAGAGGTATTTCGTACAGCCACAGATTCTGTCACCACCGTCTTTTCAACAATCTGCTGAAAGACACTCAAAATTCCGAGGGAAGCCCTTGTGTGTGTGACTGATAATGGCCCTTTCATGAGTAATGGCTGAGCAGTTGCTGGTTTAGTGGCAAATAATTTAGTTCCTGTTCAGAGGCAAAGCTATCTTTCATCACTCTTCCAGCATAAAACATGCCTCGGCAAAAGGGATTCTGAAGGGCGTGTGTCTTAGAAAGACAGGGCGATGATCTCCAGGGAGCCATGCCGCAGCTCCTAGCCCACCGCCATCACCTCCATCACCGGGACTCATGCCCCGGACTCCCAAGTGGCTCTCCAGCCCCGAACCTCCCCTGAGCTCACCCTGTCTTTCCATCTGCCTCAAAGTGGCTGTCGTGGCAATTCCAGGATATCCCTGCCCACGTGGGGAACCTGTGGCAGCTCTCGCAGCTCAGCTTCCTGGTCCCCCGTGGCCATTCCCTCCTACTCCACTCTCCGCCTTTGCCAGACGCCAGGCCCCCCACTTTCCTTTCTCAAGCTCTGCTGTCCTTCAGTCCCTCACGGTCAAGCCCGACAGTCGAGGCCTTGACCTTCCCTTGAACAAACTATGTTAACCACCTCTGACCTCCTTCTCTGCCTCTGGCTTCTCCTCTTGTGCTCAGTCTCCGAGAGAAAGCAGGATTACTTTTCTAAAACCCAGATCAGAGCCGCTGTTCCAGACTCCAGACCAGCAAGAATGATCCTGCTGCCTGCTCTGGAGAGCTCTGGAATTCAAAAACCCTCCTCCTTTCTCGCTGATGTGCCCCATGTCCCCCCCACCCCCAGCAGGCCACCTGCATCTCACCTGGCCAAAAGGAGAGTCTTGGGAGCAGAACAGGTGGGAACAAGCAACAGTGGAAGTTTGAAGAGGGGGAAGGAAGAGAGAAGGTGAACCCTCAGCCAGTCACCCTCCTTCCCCACCACGGGGGTCCCCCAGCACAATGTAAAAATGCCCGGAAATATCAGACTCTCTTTTCCCAGCAAATGCATTTTTTATAAAACGTAGGTGAATTCTGATCATCTTATGTATTAGATACACATCAATGCAGCCCAGCGAAGAGAAAGTTCTCATGTATCAGATCAAAATAGAAACTGAAACAGCCTAGGCAAAGGAGAATAAAGAAGAGAATCGATTTCAATGCTGGCGTATTTTCCCATCATTGCACAAGGGGACTGTGCTGCTCCGTGAGCCAGAGAGGAAGAGAGCATCCGGAATGTGGTTGGTCAGTGGTCGGGAAGGGAAGCAAAGAAGCTCTGGCTGGAACCAGCAGGGAATGGCGATGACAAGGTGACATTAAGAAAGAGAAGGGAAAAGGAGTGACCCAGGAAGGAAGACCCATCCCGGAGGGTTTGTGTCAGCAGGAAGCCCTGGCCCAACAGGCGCTTGCCTTTCAAAATTCTCCTGACTGCTTCTCAAGGCCTCTGCTCCACAACAGCCCCAGTCTGGGCCCAAGTCCCCATGCTGCAGGCAGGTGTCCCTTCAAGTTCAAGAGGTTGGTGTCTAAAGGTGCAGTTGTGAGAACACAGGAGTGGCGAAGGTGGCGGTCCTCTGCCCTTGTCCCTCTGACCATCACACTGGACATACTACCATTCTACCCAGCACCACGAAACCAACAAGCAAAAATCAAAAGTCCATCCTTCCCCATGGTCTCCCTCGACCTTAACTAATGGTAAGTGTATCCTTCCCATTGGAGGTCACCCTTGAATCTCCCCTCCCCAAACCCACCTACTCACTCATAGTCCACACTGTATCCACCCTGGAATCCCACCGGCTTCAAGGTGCATCTCCTATCTGGCCACTTCTCACCACCTCTACTGCTACCACTGTGGTCCAGCCACGAAATCTCTTACCTGGACCCAGGAGCCAGAGTGCAGTTGTGACTGTGGAAGTTAGACTATGTCCCTCCTCTGCTCAAAGTCCCCACAGGACTCTCCATCTCCTTCAGCAGAAAGTCAGAGTCTTTCCAGGGCAGACAAAGTCCTTCGGATCCAACCTCCCAGTAGTTTCCCATCTCTCCCCCTTATCTCTCTCCTCTGGCCACACTTGTTTGCTTCTGCCTTGAGCCCTTCCCCTGGCTGTCCTCTCGACCTGGGACACTGCCTTCCAACGTCCACACTGCTCCTCTCCCGCACCATTCATTCGAGTCTCTGTCGACTTCCTGGAGAGGCCTCTCCTGACCCGCATCCATACCCTTCATTTCCTACTGTATTTCCTTCAAAAGGTTTCCCCCTTTAACCAATGTAAATGTGTTCATTTACGACATTCTGTCCTGCCCTACTAGACTGTAGAGTCCATGGAGATAGAGATTTCTGTCTGTTTTGTTCATTGTTACATCCCCAGCACTTAGAACACAACCTGGCATGAGAGTCATTCAATAAATATTTGCTGAATACAAGGTGGATCAAAAGTAGGTTTACAGTTGTGAGTACACAAAACAGTTTCTTTTTCATTATTTATTGTATTATTTTTCATATGAACAACTGTGTACCTACAAAAGCCCCACCATGCATATTAACTGAGTACCTTAAACATCAACGAATGCTCTGCTGTGAATGACCTTCCCAGAAGTACCACTGCGCAAAATATTACCTTGTTATCTAATCAATTCAACTGGAGGATCCTGCTTATACTCAGGGACTCCTTCCTCTCGCTCTTCATTCTGTCTCAGGCTCCCTGCAGCAGCCCTTCCTTTCCGGGACCTTCTGTCACTGAGATCCAACAGGAATGCCTTTCTTATATCTAATCCTAAAGAACCGGTAACTCTGAATCTGTATTAACTAACAGCAGCTTAATGATCACCCCCA